CGATTTTAACTTCAAACTTATGGCATTTAACTTATATATATATAAGAGAGTTTGTGAGACATTACTACATATCCTATATTTCATAATCATATTATCTACTTTTATGTATGGGTAATTGTTTTTTTAACTAAAGCCTAAGAATAATTTTTTACATATTACAAACATGTATTGACACATCCTTACACACTAACACAGGCAATGATACACATTTTTATGAATATATAGATACAAACATGGATGCATGCGTGCATCCTCATATACATGCATGCAAACACACATTCATATGCAGGCACGTACACATACCTGCATACGTACATACATGTACTCACATGCATACTTACACACATACATACCCACACTCACTTATATAAACATATACACAAACACACATACATATGTATCCACTAAAATATAGAACACATATCTGTTATATATTGAGAGTATAATTATGATACAAAGAAACATACATATAAACATACATACAAACTTTATACTTACACAAAAACATATGCACATGTGCACGCATGAATTCACCTAGGTACACACGAAAGCACGCATGCTTATACATAGGAACATACATTCATAACACATAACCCAATTTATTGAGAGTACATGCTGGTAAGTTCAAACTCTCCGCACATTACTTATAGGATACATATAAACATATGATTGATAAAAAGCATAAGTAGAATACATTTTCCTTTTTTTTTTGTCTATAATAGATAAAATAATTTAGCATGAATAAAAATAGTGTTGACTTGAATAGATTTTTGAAAGTCAGATGTTTTACCAAATAAAATAATATATTTTTTAATTTCAAGAGAATGGTTGGTTTTTATGTGTATCCATCTGCATATGTCCTGCCAGAAGTTTTTTGTCATTTGACAATCATAAAAAAAGGTGTTCAATGGTTTCTTTGGTTTCTTTGGATAAATCACATTGTGTAATTCTAATTATTTTTAGATAATGATTAAGTGGAAGTATTCTAGAAATAAGTCTAAAAATAAACTATGGAATACTGCTGTCTTTTGTATTTTTGAAAGAGAAAGCAAACATTCCAACTGATATTTGAACAGGATTGGTAAATAAATATTTGTCTATTGTTGTGTTAGTGTTTTTGCGGTTAATGAGAGTATTGTATATGTCCTTTTTATTTCTATTTCTTAATATCACATTAATGTGGAAAAGGTATATCATTATCTCTCATAAATGTTCTGATTGATTCATAAATACTTATATAATGTAGACAGTTTCCAGTAGTTCTATCATATTTCTTTTTAAAGTTACCATAGCTTAAAAACCATCCTCTTGAACCAAATCTCCACCAAAAACTACATTTTGTAAATACCAGTCAAAAAAATTATAGAATTCTCACCAATATTAAAATTTCTGTTGTACCAAATTGGTGGTTTTAAAAGATAATCATAACTTTTAATATCTATCATTTCTTAGAATTTAATCCATGCTTTAAAAACATCTCTCCAGAACATATCTTGTGTCTGAATATCTTAAATGTATACATTCTGCTATCTTGTTTTTAGATCATATGTTTCTTCCAACAAGTTTGACCTTTCACTGTCTTTGGAAAGGAGGTATCAGATTATCAGTTATCATTTTCAGATCATATATACTATTCTGTAAATCAATCAATTTGAGCCCACCCTCACAATAATCATGAATAATTGTTGAGCGTTTTATTCGATCAATTGGGGTTTTCCAAATGAAATTAATGATTTTTTTTTGTTCAGAGATTGTGTGAACTCCTTACTTGGAGAAGGTAGAGATGTAAACAACTGGTTCATTTTTGCAATGCTAAGTGATTTAACAACAGTTATTCTCCCAATAGGTTTTATAATTTTTTTAGACCATTGTTGTAGCTCGCTATTTATAACAGTAATTGTTTTATTGAAATCTAAATGAACCATGTCTTCTAAATTAAGGTAAATTTGATTGTATGAGATTGTATAAACTCCTTACTAGGAGAAGGTAGAGATGTAAACAACTGGTTCATTTTTGCAATGCTAAGTGATTTAACAACAGTTATTCTCCCGATAGGTTTTTTAAAAAAAAATGGACCATTGTTGTAGCTCGCTATTTATAAAAGTAATTGTTTTATTGAAATCTAAATGAACCATGTCTTCCAAATTAAGGTAAATTTGATTGTTCCCCATTTCAGTTTCCATCTATGATGGTATACTTCAGCACTAAACGTTTTACTCCCTATCCAAATAACATTTCTTTTTACTGTATTTACTTTCAGCCCAGATACTTTAGTATATTTAGTGTTATGTTTATAGCCTCTATGAATGAAGATTTCGAGCCATTTAAAATAAGTGTAATCAGCAGACTGTGATAGCCTGTGTTTTTTATCATTTAATCGTATGCCTTTAAAGTTTTTTTTATTATTTTTAACCATAGTGGCTAGTATTTCAGCTACTGAAAGAAATAGGTGAGATAAAACAGGGTCCTCTCGTCTACAACCTCATTTTATGTCAACAAAGTTAGATAAAAAGCCATTCTATATGATAACAGAAGAAGTATTTGTATTAAAAACTTGAATCTTTATCCTGATACTAGTTCCAAAGTTGAATAAAATTAATACTTTAGTTACAAAGTCCCAGGACACGGAATCAAATGCTTTTTCAAAAGCGATGACAATAAGTTGTCCAGGAATATTATATTGTTCTGTATAGTTCATTACGTCTTAAGTTAACATTGTATTTTCACTAATGTATCTTCCACTAAAAAAACCCCCTGTTTTTAGAAATTATAGAATCAAGGACTGATTTTAATTTGTAAGTTATACTAAGAGGGGTAATAGATTTGTAAATATTGTCCTGATTTATTACCTTTTGGAATACATATTATGATGCCCTGTTTTTATGTAACAGATAGGTAACCATTTCTATATCCTTCATCAAGAGATCTTATAATAAAATGTTTTAGGTCTTGCCAAAAAAATAATTTTAGATTCAGAAGTATACCCATATGATTCTGGTGATTAATTATTTTTCCTATTTTTAGAGCAAATAGTTCTTCATTTTCTTTCAAATCTCCTTCAATGTTATTTGTTTGATAGTCACTAAGTATGTTAAGTTCAAAATCTTTAAGAAATTCGTCCAAGTCTACATCCTCAATATTTTCAGAGTGTTTTGAGTATAGATCTTTATAAAATAATTCAATTTCCTTCAATATTTTGTCCTCACTAGTGATAAGTTCCCCATTATTGTTTTCAACATAGTAAATAGTTTTAATTATATAGTTTTTTTTTTATACAAGACTACAGGAAAAAAATACTTATCTTTTCTCCTTGTTCAATAAATTTTGCTCTTGATCTTATCATGTTTCATTTTAACTTTTCTTTTCTAATATTTTCTGACTCATTTTTTTTTTTTTTTTTTTTTTTTTTGAAGTTCTTTAATATCTATTACCTTTTCACAATGGCATATTTTTTGGTCATTTTTTTCTAATGAAGGTTTTGAAATATGTCATCAAATGACATTTAAGAGAAAAAAACTAGAAAAAATATTTTAGTTTGATAATTATTGCAATAGTTATTAATTTGATTCCCCACTCGTCCCCCCTATAACAACTGAACAGCCTCGAGCTGACCTTAGATTAATGTCATGTCATTACCGCATGACCTCAAACTGGCACTCCTCCTTTAAGAAATGCTAGCGAACGTTATACTTACGTTAGATAATCTTATGAATTTAGCAGAACAAACACACAGATACATAACAGATCAATCACTAATAACATTCGAACTAGATATAAATAATTTTGAAAATGGTTGCGGATTATGGAAATTATATGACACTCAATATTTAAACAAGATAAAACAGAAAATTACTGACACTAAATAACATTACGCATCACCGAGGTACAACCAAAACATAACAAATATATATATCTGATAATGATCTAGACTTGACAAAAAGTGATCAGCTCTTTTTATAAACTCTAGAGATTAAAGGATTGATGCAAATTGTATTTTGGACAGTTCTGCATTTCGTAACATGAATGGGTTGTAAGCGCACGCTTTCAGTGTATTATTGTATAATTCTTTATTACAGTTTTGCCAGTGAAATATATAAATATCTCATTGATAGTCTTACTTTTCACTATTGAAAAATAACACTTTTGCAAATTTACCCCAATGAAAAGAGAGAACACAAATCATCATATAAAACCGACAAATCATAAAGCCCGGTTCAAAAACAGAAAACTAAAAACCTTAAGAGGTTGTTTACCAGTAATACGACCTTCTACTCCAAGTAAACTTTCATTTCCATATGGAAATCAGCAAACAGTGCAAATCAAATTACCTTATAAAAGATCACACCAAATCAGCAACTGAACATCTAGAAAGCAGAGTTATATATATAAAACAAATTCACATTGAATGTTTTTGTTTGTGTTTGTGTGTGTGTGTGTGTGTGTGTGTGTGTGTGTGTGTGTGTGTGTGTGTGAGAGAGAGAGAGAGAGAGAGAGAGAGAGAGAGAGAGAGAGAGAGAGAGAGAGAGAGAGAGAGAGAGAGAGAGAGAGTGTGTGTGTGTGTGTGTGTGTGTGTGTATGTTTTTAAATACACCGCACACTGCAAAGTCATAATGAGTGAGTAGTGTAGCAAGCTTCGTCCTTTATCTTTTAATGATTTGAGTTTTAAAACGAAAAGTACAATCCGCTTCGTTCTTAAATAACTGCCAAAAATATGCCAGTAATAGATAGAATATTTAATAGTGTCTTCAGTAATAACAAATATATTTTTCTCGTGTGTCTAATATTTTATATCCTTTACTCGTGCTGCCCATTAATGTTCCATCATCATTTCGTTGGCAATTGATATGTTCCCCTCAATGCCTTGCTCAGCAGCCAGTTGCACCACCTAGTCAATGGAGCATTAAGCTAGCCATGTGTTGAACAACGTTACCTGAGCTGAGAAATAAAGTAGACTTTATACCAGTCAGCTCATCGTTGTACCTGTATAAGACCTGATCAAAATGTTACACTTTTATTATGATCTGATGTCACAGCCTTCACGCGCAGTCTACATCTTTCTGAAGATAAATAACATTTCTTTTGTAGCCAAACCAGTAGCATTAAGAAATGGTAAGTATGGACTATGTTTGTAAATGTAAATGCTTAATTTACGTTTCGTTTTAAAGGTAAATGATAAAACATTCGTGGGTTCATGGCGTTCTATATGTTGAACTCTGTGTATACCGATAACGTAATACTGCCTGATGTCAAATGTTACACGAGGACGCGGCTATAGCTCAGCCAATAGAACGTAGGCCTACGCATCGTCAGGTGAGAGGAGTAGTTTTTGATGAGGCTCATTACCTGTTGGTGTAGTTAATTATGCTGAGAAACGGTACGGTCTGTGCTGTTCATTGTTGTGTCCCTGGTCAAGACACTTTATCCCAGTTGTACTAGGACTCTCATATACTTTCTAATTCTTCAAAATTATTTTGGCTGTTCGCGGGTCGAAAAACCGCTCAAGCAATCAAATATCATACCTTGGTTTACAATGAGTGAAATATTAGCACAAACCAGACCAACCATTGGTTCTTTCTGAATGAATGTAGATAATTAGTGATCACTTAAATGTAAAGAACGATTTAAATACTTTTATCGTAGGTTAAGGAAGACGTGCATCAATATAACGATAAAACTTATAGAACTTGACATCCTCTATGACAGCATTAAGCATAATGAACATCAATTAGTAGTACATTTCAATACAAAGTCAGAATCAGGTACAATGGAGTCATATCACAAGCTAAACTATATCGCGTCTTATTTATTTTCTCTATTGCAAAAAATCTAAAAGTTTAAAAGATATTTAACATATTTTATCAGATGTTTTATTTAGTTTGTAAAGTGTCCCTTATATCTTATTTCAAATCCTTTGTAAGATATAGATTTGACGAGATATTTTATGTGTATGTAAGATGTCTTATTCTATCATTCCTATCTATGTGATACTGATCTGTCCAGGGCAAACCACTCATGTTCAGTGTTCTTGTATTACCTACATATGCAATACAGGCCGTTCACGTTCGCGCAGAAATGCGGCGTGTCCCTTCCCAATGGACGTCATCACCAGATACGATGTATACACAATTGTGAGCACACACTTATTTACAGTGACCGTTTATGTTTTATTTTAAAATTGTTAGGACAAACTTTGTTTGCCGAATCAAGGCACGGAGAAAACATTTTCTGTGTCAATTTGTTATTTGATTACATAATAATATATAAGATAAAACACAAAGTAAATTAGATGTCTCATACACGCAATATCATGTTTAAATTATATCTTAGATAACTTGTTTAAATACAGGAAAATTATCTTGATTTAAGCTAGGAAATGTATATTTTTTATCCTAAATCTACATTGAAAATTGAAATGAAATTTTATCATATCTCTAACATTATCAGGTAGGACTCTTTTGTCACTGGCACTATTATGTAACTCATCGAACGCATTTCGGTCAGGAATTACCGCAATGCGTATGAATATGAATAATGAAGTTCAACAACACTCTCTACTAGAAGTAGTTTATTAACAAAAAGTGTATTAAAAAAAAATTCTAATGATACAAGTAGATGAGTTGAAACGTGCGACCCCATAAAATTTCCACTGACGTGTGTGCTACAGTTCAAGGTTGAAAGCATACGCATATTCAGTTTTTCGGTATCAGCGCACAGCTGCATCAACTTTCGAAGTTAGGATTTAAATTCACAATAGATAAATTTAGTTACCTAAAAGTTATGTGCGCTGTGCGTCAAAAATGCTTTTGCAGCCGGGGAAAACATCATGGTTAGTGTATATTGCCAAAGGTAGATTTTTAAGATTTATAGAAAATAAAACATAACATAAATCCAAGATATTTTTCATGGTTACTATTGGGATAAAGCTCAATGTGTCTAACTATCCAAATTCATCGAAATAGAACATTCACTTGTTCCAATTTACTGTTGGTCTCATTTAGGAATCAGGAGGTAATACTCCATACCTTTTTTATTCCCTTTAACAGTGGATAACGTTCTTAACTAATACGTATCCATTAGGACTGAAGTCGTATTCAATTATAAAACTGATTATTTCTAAAGTTGTTTAATGTCTTCAAAAATTCAGCTGATATATCTCTTTCATGTTATGCTGAAAGCAAAATCTTAAAGATAACTCAGAAATGCCAAATAAAATTTTCTGTATAGTCTTATTTTTTATGATGTAATTTTACAGATGAACACTACACTGACTGGTTCCGAAAGATCACCCCTCTCTGTCAGGTACCTGTTATAGATGATGACGGATTCATACTCACAGAGAGGTGAGTATAGCGTGAAGAATGTAACTATTTATCTGATGATATTCCTTCATCCGAATGATATGTACAGTGGATACAAAACACTCGCTAGTATTAGTTCATAGAAGTGATTACAGTCAATTACGATAATGTTTGAGTCATGTCGCGAAGATGTTAGACATTTTATAGCTCATCATGATAATTTTAGTTGAATTTGTATCAATATTGTTAGGTTAGGTATTTTGGTAGTTAATCACAATTTTGTCAGGTATTTTTGTAGCCTACCGTGATAATGATATGTATTTTGTCAGCATATCACAATGTTGTGATACATTCGTTATTCTTTTCAGACAAGAAAACGTATTATCTCTATTAATAGACAATATAGATTTTTCCTTTACTGCTACTGCGAGCTTCTAATATTGAACAGAACTGACCATTTGTTTCATTATAGTGTTGCTATCCTGAAATACCTTGCCATTAAATACAATGTGTCTGACCACTGGTATCCACGTAGTGATCTCAACGCGCAGGCCAGAGTTGACGAATCCATGAACTGGCATCACTTGAACACTAGATACAGTTGTACTTCATTATTTCGGGAACTTGTAAGTATTTATGTAAGGAGAGGTACCAATAAGGAAACATTGGAATATCATTTTTTTTTAAAGTTTATTAAAACTGTTGTAGTTGTGGTGTTTTATCTAGAAACGGGACATTGCTTTCAATTGACTTTCCTAACCGTGAACTTACATATCTGTGTCACCATGACTACTACCTTAGATTTTTAGGTATTAATTAATGTTGATAAGCATCTTGACAGAGATGTATGTGTTATAAATTCATTACCTAATCATTTTAATCGTGCTTGTACTGACCTTTAGCGAGGTCGATTTGATCTTTCTCAAATGAATTCCAATGCACTAACGTAGCCTATACCCTGGGGGATCAAAAGCTGGTTCATGTGACTTATCGGATAATAATGTTATATTTCAAACTGATACCTGCTGAACGGATGTCCACCATGTAGCGTCGATGCCAATAAACGTTTTAGCTCACTTGGCTCGATGGAAAAAGCCATCTTATAACATACCGCAATGTCCGTCGTCCATCCGTCAACTTTTCAACGAATTTGTACTACATGTTATCATGAACGACTGAGCTGATTTCGACCAATTTTTTTCAAAAGCATACTTGGGGGATAATGAACAAAATTTGCATTCTTGGGTGAATGTAACTCAGTGTTGTAAAACTGTTGGCTCACGGTCTCCTGGGGCGGGAGTTGCGGTAAGTCAAAATAGGGGGAAATGGAGCCAACTCTTTGAAATCGTACTTACACCTGTGACATGGATTGAATTTTGTACATATTTGGTCTGAATCGTCATTGAATATAGAAGCAGGAGGAGCGGGTCACAATGGGGTAAATAAATATAAATCATTTAAATGTTTTTATTTAGATAAGATGAAGCCACTTCAGTGAACAAAATGAAGTAAGCGATTTATGTCCTATTGACTTCTTATCTTTCCCAGTTACGGTCTTATTTCTAAACTGTGATCATTACATATACTAACATAGTTAACTAATTATTTTTAACGTATTTTATAGATAAGATTGCCGATACTCAACAAAGCTCCAATACAGTGGCACCTGGTAGAGAACGAAAGAAACCAGGTGCGGAAAGCTGTTTCTAGTCTGGCCTCTTTCTTTCTTAAGGACAATAAGACATTTTTGTGTGGGAACGAGATTTCAGTTGCCGATCTACTTTGCGTTTGTGAGTTGATGCAGCTGGTCACGTGTTGGGAGGAAGATCTTTACGAATCGAATCCCGTGATCAAAGATTGGGTACATAGGGTTAGAGACAGAACTGACCTTGTATTCCAGGAATCACATCATATAGCATACAGAGTTAGAAGTAAGTTTTCAAAACAGAACAAATTGTAGAAATATTTACTTATCGTAAAATGTCAATTATACACATGCCTATGATGAAATTGGATATTTGATTAAAATGTTCTAATTTTGATTAATAAAACACTACTGAATATCAAGGCTTACAGTGATCCATTGACTGAATTATATGTTACTATCACCGCCCTCCCGTACCCATAACAGCACCGATTTTCTCTGCCTACCGCCAAGTCGTGCACGTAATTTCATCGCCAATTTGATTGCTATAAGACCTTCTACTGTATTACCTATTAAAGTTGTATGTATTTCGCTGAAAAGCAATAAAGCATATATCGATTGAGATATTTTTGTTTAATGTATAAAAAGATGTGGAAAATAGAAACATGGAAAGAGAATGATTTTTTTAAAAGCTAAATTTTATACCTTAAGAGACATCTGAAGTAGAATTTCAAAAGCATAGCCAGTTCTGGAAGCATATGTGTTTGTTCATATCTTCCTTCTTCTGTAACATTCTCTAGGAAAGGGGTAAAAGAAAATAGTATCGAAGACCATGAAAACTTTGATATTTCCGTGATGTCATCCGTACTATAACAAAGGAACCATGAAATAGTGTAAGCTAATGAAGAAATAATATGACAATGTAACAGGCAGAGGTAGGTTCTATAGGAAGTTAAATTATTTAATCATTGAACCGAATCACGCACTGTGCGTCGAACATACAAGTAATTTATGATAATTCATTTTGTTGGCTTTCCTGTATCCAAAATTTTGTTGAAAGAACGTGTTTTGTACAATTTTCAAGTCACACTTCATGATTTTACGACTGTGAATATGCAGTTAACAATTATATGGCCTTGAAATCTATAGACACCTTTCACATTTTAGGATTATAAAACTATTTTACGTAATATTTACGTTTGACTTCATGCAGTCTTCACATAAGACTAAATTTATATATAAATTAATTTATTGATAAATGCTAACATGTTCCATCGAATTTCAAGTTCCTTTACATTTGGAAGTGGGTAAGATTAAAATTAGGTAATTCACTTTTTCTACTTTTGAAACAAAATGCATATTATTAACAAATACTTCTGTAAATATGTTATGCATTCATGCTGTATTTGTTCTGTTTAAAGGGATTGATACTGATTAATTAAAAATTGGCTGCCAGAAATATTGAACATAAATTACCACTCCTGATGAAACCTTGACTAAGAGTAATTGCAGAAGGAATCACGAATTGTGCAGTCGATACTGTCGTTATTTATCAGGTATTAAACCCGGATTGACGACCCTGTCCGTTTGACCATCCATCATTCCAATAAGTTTCAGATCTAAATGTAACTGTCTTTACCCAAGGCAATGTGGATTCATAAAGGTGATTTGTAGATTTTAAGAAATTACATCACTACGTCTTGAAATTCGTCAAGGTAAACCAAACTTGGACACATTTCAGCTCAGTGAGTCACGTGTCAAATATCTCCATATATTATCCTTTTATATTGGTTTTAGTGAATAAGATGGTGGATCATTTTGTAGACGAACAACAATTATGAAAACGATAAACTATGAATTATTTACTTTAACCTCTGGATTGCAATTATAATTATCGCTGGTATGTTATTATTATTTATTGCTGACCAACAGATCCAGGTTGTTTGATACAGTGATGTCACTTCAATCACAAAAATTAAAGTACCCTTGTATCAAACTTTATCTTTTCAAAGTGTGTGTTTATGTCAATATAAGCGTACGATATGGGACACTGCAAGTACCGTCAACGACGTCTATGAATGAGTTATAAATAAAGACAATAATAAATTTCAACAAAATTTAATTGAAATGGAACCATCAAGAATACAGCGACCAGAAAATGTTAATACCCCGTCATTATGATTTAACATATATGCTATCGACATTGGTTTCTGTGCGGATTAGCGGAATGTTACTTATGTTCTTGTACAAATTAATTTATCGCTGAACCACAAAAATGGGATAAGGAAAGACTCAAATAGGAAATCCTAAATTTATTAGAAAGAGAGGTTCAATAAACCCATGCATCATAATGATTCTGTATATCGATGATTTCAAGGAATATACTACCAAAACAAAACTTTTAACAAAAATGTCTTTCACAGATATCTTCAATAAGTGAAGCGAGGACCTAAGGATTGTAACAAAGCACGCATAAATGTGAAATATTAGAGCCATAACATGAACTAAATACTATCTTTCATGAATCTCCGAAGAATATTTTTTGTTCATATATAACCATAGTTTTAGTGAATGTAAGTTTTGATAAGATTCTATTGTCAAGTTTTTGTTTTTTCGGTGTTAATTTAGTATGGTTGATACATTATGGTCAAACTATTGATCTCATTGACTTGCTTCTGGTCCATTTTACGCTGTCTTCAAACTTTATATGTACACAATAATTTTAAAGTAATTGCCAGAAATGGGCTGGGAAAGGGAAACACACCATTTCTTCGTTATAAAGGTAAGGTGATGCATAAATTAAGGTCTTGTTTACCCACTTCTTTTATGCAACATGCCGTCTTCCAGAATCTTTCACAATCAACCTCAATCCAGAAAACATGAATTTTATCAATCAGAACAGAGCTATATGGAAGAAGATTCGTTCAACAGAAGCAGGAGGAAACTACGTGTTACTGGGGAAGCATTTCTATCTGAGACAGAACTACAGGTGTACTGGAGTATGGATAACCATAAATCTGACCTGTGTGCAGAGATTTTATATTTGAGCTTGCAAAATGGAGGTGAATTTTAAAACAATATGTTTCAAATAAAATTCTTTGTCACTGGTACAAACACTTTCTGAAAGATTATCATTTTAAAACACGGGATATGTTTTGCAACCTGTAAAACGTAAATGTATGCATATCCTGTTGGCTACACCTAAAATTTAGACAACGTTTTTCACTTTGTCAGAATTAAATATCGATATGCTGTCTTACGAGGTAAGGGTGTCCAGAACAGGTAAGAGGCATTTGGCCTAATTCGACAGAGTGTATTATTGGGGCTCCGTCAATTCAGCATTGTATAGATAAGATGTTATTAGCTTTTGGGGGATAGGAAGGCGAGGCCCAATAGGGAGTTAAGGTTTTGCAGATATGACTTCTAAAGTTAAATTCGAGTATATTTATCATAGGTTCATGATTAAGATAATATTTTTATTATAGAGGTTTAAAAAGGAACTTTTTTCTCTCTGTAATTCAAACCTAATATGACAGGGACAAATTCATTTATGATAAATAGATGAGTCAGACACGTTTCACCTGTACGATAATTCAATGCATTAGGATTTATTGGAAAAGACTTTAATAACAGGAGTATTAGTCTATATCTGTCTTCTTTGTTGTAGTCCTAACGACAGTTCCTCAGTGTGACTCCATCATCACCAAACTGTCAAAGTCTATTGAATGAAAAGTTATTGATGAATATGTAATATGTTGGAATAAAGTTAAATGATTTACTGGACAGTACAAACGTTGTCAATACAGGCAATGAAATGAACACGTCTTTATATTCTTAAACAAAGCGTAGCCGAATCGACTACAGTATAATGTTAACATCTTGTGTCATTTTTCCTTTATCATGTTTACCATCTCGTCTCACTATTTCATTATATCCCAAAAAGAGATCGATTCCTTACCATCTCGCACCTACGCACGTCGGGGCTGGCACGCTTCACACAGGTCATTTGTCTGATGAAGGTAACCATGTATTCATCAAAATGTCAAATTCAAAACTTCTAATGATTGTGTTATAAAAATTAATGACATTATCAACATTTCTTTTAAACACGAAAAAGATTATAATTGCCACATCCTTAAATAGATACAAATGACAGACATAAATACATCACACACTAAGAAATATCTAAATTGTTAAACAACATATCGCACATGAAAATATAACTATTCCGAACGAAATCACTATAGAAACAGCATAATGTCAAACATGGCCAATTGGAATCACGCATATTAGACAGCTTTGTAATCAGCTGTTAAGGTAAGTTTGTTCCGCATAACGATGAAGGTTGGTATTATTGTTAATGTTTAGTTCATAGGGTTATGACGATAAACCTGGTCAACACCGTTTCTCTTTAAATGTGTATGACATAACAAGCACTTAAAATAGTGTAATCGCTAGAATCAACCCAGCCATTTTTTTCAATTGGAGGTTGTCAATTTTTCTTTCTCGTATTTTATCTTTGTCGTGGCTATATTTTCGTCAAATGTTCTTTAGTATAACACATTTTCATATATTCTAAACCATCTGTTCATCCTTGAAAAGATGTCTCACTTAATAAATGAAAAGATATACATGTATGCAGTTATTTTTGTGTACTGAGTTGGATTAATACGAAAATAAACAGAATAAAAAGTCGAATGTCATGATAGTCAGAAACATTTTATAGAAATTGACGTCATATTGACAAGATAAACTGTAACAGAAGGATTATGCCCTTTCATATGTAATTTATCTTATGAACATGTAACAATCAATTTGTTCATTAATTCAATTTTATCTTGAAATTCACATTCTTTTAGATAGCAGGAACCTCCCAAAGTTTGCCCCTCTCTCGCATATTACTTCCGGGTTTATCGGATTATAAAATCTAACCTGTTATCGACATGTCCCCAGAATTGTTTTGTGTGTCGGTGATTCAACTACCTTACATCTAAAATCCGGAATTGTTGAAGATTGTATAAAAGACACTCTACAGGTAAGAACATGCTTTTTTTACATGTCTGCATGTTTATTTGTATTTAGAAATTATATATTAAAGTTATGTTAAAAATTTGACGATATATTTCTATGATATATTTGTGCTTATCTATTCATTTATTTGTTTTATATAGTTTTGATATTACTAGGGATACAGTTATATTAATTTATATGTGATTATCTTATAGTAACAAATTGCTAACTAACTACATGTATCTTTTAGTTTTATCATTAGTTTTCAAATCCTATAATCATGAGAAGCTTATAAGTTATGGCAA